AAGCATTAACGTGATTGAAAATGTCTTCCCTCTATGTTAATGTCATGCATTTTATCTTCCTTATTTGTCTCTGGCGAATAGGTCTTCCCACTTTGCAGTCGCATGAGGGTCTTCGGAAGACTTGTATAGTATGGGTATGCACGCCCATACATACATAGAGTGCCTGTGTGTGTGTGGTTGGATGCGATCAAAATTTTGCCTTAACTATTTCAGTATATATGTTTACTCTAATGAGATCATGAAGGGATGTGCGAATTACGATGAATTGTGCGAATAGCGTTGTCCATAAGCAAGATTACGTGTTGTGTGTTGTGTATAATTAAGTTGGGTATACCGTACGTTGTGGTATGTGGTAAGTTTTTGCGTGATTTGGTTATCCTTTGAAATCAAACTAATATCTCGTAAGGACTAATTCACATCCAAATGAAAGTAATCACCTTTTCTCTCTTCTCGCTCACAGCATCTGCTACATTCGAGGGCAGGACGCAGCTGCCTTCCGCGAGGCTTCTCTGCTGCAGTATCGGTCGGGACAGCAGGAGCAGCATCAGCAGTCCCAGCAGTCGCAGCAGCAGACCAGTCCCAGGTGAGAGATGGTGTCCCGCTGTTCCTGGAAATTGATTATGGGAAGGGGAAGAAGGCTGCAAATAGAAAGTTAATATGTACGTATGTGTATATATATGTATATGTATATACATGTGTATCTACATATGGATATATGTGTGTATATAATATATATATATATATATATATATATATTATATTATATATATATATATATATATGTATATATATTTATGTCTATGTATATTATATATTATTATATATATACATATGTATATGTATATGTATGTATGTTTGTATGTATACGCATATGTTTATTTATGTGTATGTGTATATATGCATACATACACATATATATGTATGTATGTAAGTAATTATGTAATTATTTTTCTTTTAACTAAATTTTGTATTTACTCTTACCAAAACCGAACCGACAATCCAAGCTGGAGATTGTTTATTAGTACCAGGGTGTACATATGGGCGTATTTTTATTTATTCTTTCACTCATAAACACCCCATCGCTCGTGTTAATGTACCTTTGCAAGCAATTAAGTTATTTCTTATTAGTCTCCCTCCTACCTTTTTGATTAGCTAAAAGATAAAGTTTTCCTTCCACTCCAAAATTTAAATTATGTTCCTCTATTGGCTGAAGTTGTATAATAAACCAAGCAAACTCTCCAAAAAAGAGTGTACATAGAGAGACTAAACATGCATGGCGACCTTGACAAGAGCCTCTGGACGACCGTTGAAAATCGAGCGTGTATGGTTGTTGCCGGGAGACAGTTGCCACTTTTGGAATTTTTCGAAGACAGTGTCCTTTGAATGCGTTTTTTTTTTTCTGGAAACTATTGATTCTATTTGATCGTTTTTTTTCATATAGATAACGATAGTGATGTTCTTGTTGCTGATATAAGATTTATTGTTATCAGAATAATGGAAATGGTGATAATGGTAATGATGAAAATAATGATGATAGCCTGTTGTCACGATGCTAAATGTTATTATTATTATGATATTTATCATTATTGTAGTTTTTGCTATTGTTATGATAATCATGGCTATTATGATAATGATTACAATTTCCATGGAGATTATTGCTGTTATTGTTATCATTGTTAACAATAATATGGTAATTATTTTCATTTTTTCTATTGGTAGCATTTATTATTATTATTATTATTGTTATTATTACTGCTTTTCTGTATAATTGTTATTATTGTTATCATTATTATTAGTATTGCTATTATCATTTTTGTTATCATTATTATTTTTTTTTTTATTATCATTATCATTGTCATTATCAGTATCATTATAATCATGAATATCATTACTATCATTGTTATTATTATTATTATTATTATTATTATTATTATTATTATTATTATTATTATTAGCATTGTTGTTTTTACTATTATTGTTATTGTTATTATTATCATTATTATTGCTATTTTATTTTTATTATTATCATTATTATTGTTATTTTATTTTTATTATTATCATTATTATTATTTTATTTATATTATTATCATTATTATTATTATTTTATTTTTATTATTATTAGCATTATTGTTATTGTCGTTATTATTATTATTATTATTATTATTATTATTATTATTATTATTATTATTATTATTGTTATTAATTATTATATCATTTTTGTTATTATTTTATTATTATTGTTATCGTTATTATTTTATTATTATTATTATTATTATTATTATTATTATTATTATTATTATTATTATTATTATTTTAATAGCTACTGTAATTATAAGTATTAATATTATTATTGTTATGATTACTATTTATATTGTTATTTTTATTATTAATATTGATATTATTATTGTTATTAGTATTATCATTATTATTATTGTACTTACTATGATTATTATAATTAGTATATAAACAATATTATTGACGATAATAATGAAAATAATAA